ACATTATTCCATGGACCGACGTGTTGTACGAGTATACTAAGGACTGGCCTATAGAATGAATAGGAGAAACTAAACAAAAAATCTGCACTAGGGAAAGATATGGATTTGTTCATCGTGATTCAGATACAATTCGCGCGGTCCCACGTGGCCCACAACGCGCGCATTAAATGTGTATCACGCTGTCGTCAATGTGTTAAGCAAGTTCCTACAGCTCCAAAAATCGAATGTGGCTTGCGATCCTAACAGGTCGATCCGAGCATTGCAGTGTGGTCTCAAACCTGCTTTTAAAAATTGCGGAATGAATTTCTGGATGGAATTACGAAGGTTTTTTCTAATTGTATCGTGCACTATCATATTTGGGCGTACTTATAAGTAGGTTGAGGTGGGCATGGATTGTACCAACACGGTGCAGTAGGTGGGTGGTGTGTTCAGCAATTAAAACGGCATGAGTTCTGATCCGTGCTGGACTGAGTTCTCCTTATTTTGCAGGATAACATTGCGAAGTTGAAGGCTTTTAAATCGGTTCTGCATCAGCACTCGCCTATACTAATCTGTACGAGACCTTTCCGGGAGTCCATAAGACCTTCGAGTACATTGTGGCCTAAGTAGATGCATGGTGCCAACGTTCATAGAGCACTCCACAAGCGTTTTCGTGCCAAATTGATGCGATTTAAGGTTCAGGGGCTCAAGCTACCCCTCGCGACGAAGTTTTAGTCAAATATGAGATTTCAACCTGTTTTCGAACAGGGTGGGGCACCTATGGGTGAATAACAAGCAACAGGTCTGGGGCTGGTGCATCACTGAATTACAGGTTCTGTGGATGATCTGCCTGCTGTGCCATGTTTTCGAAAAAAGGGTATCTGACCCGCGAGTTCCCCCCGTTGCCAGGGGTCAATCTTTTCAAGTTCATGGATAGTGCCAATTTTCATTCTGACCTTCAACTACCTTAGATTTCTTGATGATCAGAAGCAACTTTCATCTTAACACCAGATGGTGATAACAACGATAGGCTAGTAAGGTAACCGACCACTGACTGCCGCTATCGCCTTCACTTCCGAGCAGAACAACTTGTCCCTCGTGAGCGCTGCGTCGCTCGCTTTGCTCAACCGCATATTACGGTTGTATGGTCACATACCCGTTTATACCGTCCCTCCCAGGACCTGAAGCGCATGAAGCCGAATTAGAGGTAGCAGGCAGACGGTAGACATCAAATAATTGTAATCGAATGATTATGCCGTCAGCTTTTTTTCAAATGATGAGTTCAGGCGTGAGTGGAATTCCTGGATTTGTCGTGCAATACGAATTCAGTCCTCTGATGGTGCGGTACGAAGAAAGGCGACAGTACGTTTTCGTAGTGCCAGTTTTTCCAATAATTTGTATGAGGAACATTTTCAGGCATTTGATCACGTTCTTGGTGTCATTGTGTGCCATTATTGGAGGAGTGTTCACGGTAGCCCAGTTGATCGACTCCATGATTTATCATTCATCACGGGCTATTGAAAGGAAGCTTACATTGAATAAGCTCGGATGATTTTTGTTTTGCGAATAGGTCTCATATTTGTTCTTTTCTGGTATTTATCTAGTGCTAATTGGTTTCTATCACACAATGTTTGGCATATAGTGATTATAAGAGTTTATGGGTGCCCTTTTCAAGGCAATATTGTTGGCTGGGTAATTGTTGTTGGACTTTAATTACAATCGTCTGTGATGGTTATAATAAGTGAGGACGTATCGTCTATGTAAAGATTTTGTTTTATCCTATAGGGAGTAATTAATCTTATTTCCAATTATTAAAATAAATTTTATTACAGGCGCGTGATAGCACTAACTTTCATCTCCTAAAGGGATGAGTGTCAACCTGTAATTGCGCCTGATTCGTTGGCCTTGTAGAAAGCGCGCGCTGATGTATTTCCTAGAGCGCAATGCATTGCCAATTTTCACGACACAAGCAACTTGTCTTTCATCTCGCTCCATTTCGTCCGAGTCAACAAGTATAGATTTTGATTGAATATTACAAGGGGTGTGTGTGACAAGACAATCGTAAGATGCCACGGGAGGGGCGTGGCGACCCTTGTCTAGCCGTTTGGATATTAGTGTTGAAGGGACTGAAAAAGTCGACATCGCTCATCTCTGAGTCTTTTCTTTGCTGAACTTTCAGGAGTTCCGCTGCTTCAACCGATGAAGTGGTGCACATCGAGAATTTGCCGTGCGTGGTGCCGCGCGCGACAACGCGAGGAACTATGGTTGTCTTGTCCGTCTCACCATCAGAAGGCGCCCTGATTGGGGTGCACTAAGTGAGAATGGAAGCCAGTTTCGTCTGGACCGTAAATTATGTGAATCCAGTAGTTTTATGATAGGGGTTCGAGGACCCATCGCATGGCCTGTCGTGCCGTGAGGACCCCCTCCCGCTTGCTGGATTCTTCTCCTACAAGTGGAATGATCGTGCGGGTTGAATTTAATGGTAATGTCGTACGTGTGCTTCTAGTGAACTTAGCGCTCAATTCCGAGCTATTTTGAGGCGTACAATTCACAACCTTGTGCACGCTCCACATCCCTGACACACGGGAGGTGTGACTGCGTAGTTCAATCCAACTGTGTGTTCAGATGAACTACGCAGCACACCAACCAGATCTCAGGGCTCTGAGCTTTACCTACTCCTCCTCGCTGCCGATTGAGTGTTCAAGGTGGTGGTTATGGTCGCGGTCGCCAGCCAGTTCTCCCAGCTTCTCTGCCGCTTTGCTCGGAAGCAGATACCCGACAAGAATTGCGGAGTGGCGCGCGCCACACCTAGCCCTCTGGCACGCCCCAGCGCAGCGAAGAAGACTAAGTATTAAGGGTTACCAGCGGTAGCAAACCAAACGGGAACTTCTTGTTTATCAGATGGCTACTTAATGGATATGGTAGATTGATCTAAACATAAAAATCGAGTAGCTAGGAAGATTTTGTTGGAGGCGATACGATGACAAGTGAATGTATTATCACCTGCGAGGTCCGAGGATCAAAGCCTGGGGCGGCTCTCGCAAAGGCTGGAGCTTTTACCCTTCGGCAAAGGTGAATTGACACCGGATGTGTTTTGGAGAGTAATAAAAAGGCTTGCCCCTACATAAGATGACTTCTACCAGTGATTGTATGTGCCGCCACAATTCTGTAGTGAAATGTGTGGCGCATCTTGAAGGCAGTTGGCACGATAAATCCCCAAGGCGACTAGGATCAATACTCCTGGCAGGATAGAATTCCGCGACCCTGGGCAGGCGCTGCATAGCGGTTTCCCCGAGGAAGGTGCCCTTATAAGGGCCCTATCAAGCCACAACTTTACGTCCCAAACGCCCGCCACGCCCGCCCGCCCACAAATGGACGACCGTTCCTGACGCTCGTATTCATTCATTTGCTAAGCAAATTATGAAGCGAAGGGATTGGTATGAAGCGGCCGTGATGCTGCATGCATACATGGGTACACATATGCAGCCGTATCTTCGGTAGCGGTGATTGGTAAGATGCCTACGGGAAACTCGTCCGAAATCGATTTTCAAGTCACTGAGAACGGAGGATTTTCCGTTTCACTCCGTTCTTTCGCCATTTCCCCACTATACAGCGCCCTACTAGCATTTTAGGCTAAGTAGGAAACCATCGTGCCAATTTGCCTTTAAGGGGGATGGATAAACGGTGGAATCTTATGCTGAGGGAAAAGAAAGAATTTTCCCACACTGGATTTACAACACCTAATTCTGAAGCCTAAAACTTTATATCGTGAATGTAGACCAAGGATAGCCCGAGACGGTGACTTTTCCGAGCTGTACTTCTAGTCAGATCCACCATTTCGCCAAGAAAGGGAGTGCGATTGGACGCATCAGCGTTTGTGCACAGCTTTCATGAACAGACGCGCTATTCGTCTGCACCCTCTCACTTCACTTCTAGTTGTTCTCAAACGCATAGTGCGTGTTTCGCTGCGGAATCTTAGTGTCGACGCAAGTGCTGCACTTTGAGGATGGTGCGGGCGGGAGTTCGGAGACAGGCACACGGGCGGCCCTGCCCTCAAACCCCGCTCTCGTGCACTTTTGAGCGGAAAAGTGGCACGCTATTGCAGCTGCAGACCTATTCATTTCTCACATGTGAAGAACCGTCATCGGAGGTGAGTGTACAGCTCCT